CTCGTGATACTTGGTTTGACGACCAATTCTATTCGGTAATTTCTTAATGAAGCCATGCGTGCCAATTATTAAAGTAAAGTAACTACTCTTCGTCTAATACGAATTCATTGTTGGCAGAGTTATTTCATGTGGGACTCTTTCGCAGCTGGTATAGCAGTCTCAACCATGAGTAAACCCAATAACCATAATGGAGAAAATGAATTTGCTGAAATGAAGTATATGAACATAACTGTTATAACTTCAAACAAACCTTATGGGGCATCTGATGGCTCTAACCCTTTCTTTGATGGCCGAAGAGTTCCTAAGTTCAATCTAGAGAAAGGTGGGGTGCATAGTGGCCATGTTCAACAAGGACTTAGAGATCCACTTTGCTTTGTGAAAAATGGGAAAGGTAGATGTCAGGTAATTCTTGCTTTCCCTTTTGGCTTGCAACTTCAATTTGTTACGTCCAATTTCACACCTACATATAGTAAATCTTAACGTGTTATGTACCAAAACATGTTCTATACACAGGATGGTTACACAAAAGAGGTAAGTGGTCCAGACTCAGTGAGGGTACTTGTTGCCACAAAAGCAAAGCCTAACAAGGATGTTAGGAGCAAACTTGACAGAGAATATTTCATAAACTTCTTGAATGTATGGTAAATTTTTTATTATATTCTTTAATCTTCTTTCAAAATTTATGAATCACACTGTTTTATCATGGCGTGTAAGGAAAACTGAATATTAATTATTTGTGCTCTGACCATATGAAGGGATTCTTAAAATGGAAAAGTGTATATGAATCTGACTTTTTGTATTGTGTCGAATTAAAGGTTATGAAGGATCCACAAAATTCAGGGAGGTTCAACTTCACCACACAGTTTCCTTATTACAAAGAAGTAACTTACAAGCCAAATTTTAAAAATAAAACACTGGGGAAACCTGTTGTGCTTGACATGGACATGAGTGCAGGAGATTTTCTTGCTCTATTTTACCTCCTAAAAGTGCCTGTTCAAGTAATCGACCTTAAGGTATCCTTATGTTTTCATTGTTAGTTGTTTATCTGATCTACACTTAAATTCTTAAGAAGTTTAATATTATGTTGAAATTTATACACAATTGCACTCAGGCAATCATCGTGAGTCCTACTGGATGGACTAATGCAGCAACAATAGATTCCATCTATGACTTACTGCACATGATGGGTCGTGACGATATCCCAGTTGGTCTTGGAGATGTTTTTGCAATAGATCAAACAGATCCAATATTTGAAGCTGTTGGAGAATGCAAGTATATAAAAGCCATTCCCCATGGAAATGGGGGATTACTGGACTCTGATACTCTTTATGGTCTTGCTCGTGATCTGCCACGCAGCCCACGAAGGTGATTTTCAATTACTTTTATGGCTTAGAATGTATTGTTTATCAGCATTAGAATGCATCAGAAGTTAGTGAAATCATATAGGCCAAGTGGAATGGAAGCTGCTATTGAAAGTAGAGAAATAACGAAATATGTGTCATGCAGAAATGAACCGTGTTATTTGGGTTACACTATGTTGAAAGAATTACTTTTCTTGAATAGAGTATTATTATTATATTTCATTCAATTGTTGCGTAACCTTTGTTAAGTGTGTCGTGCATTTTGTAACCTGTATACCTTTTAACAAGGTTATATATAAGTTTGCTCGCACTTAAGTATTTCCAGTTTTTGTTTCGAGCAACTGGCTAACACACTAACCATTTCAGGTATACAACTGAGAATTCTGTGAAGTTTGGGGCTCCCCGGGATACAGATCACCCTGAACTCAGACAACCACTGGCCATGGAAGTTTGGGAGTCTATATTACAAAAAACTAATCCAGGGTCTAAGATTACAGTGCTGACAAATGGACCCTTGACTAACCTGGCAAAGGTTGTATCGATGAAAAACATAAGCTCAAGAATTCAGGCAAGTTATAGTATGTATTAGTTATCATCTATTTGAAATAGCTGCATATATCAACAAGAACAATTACCTACTGTAGAAGTGCCTTGAGAGTAACCCCTAGAAAAAAGGAAAAAGGTTTTTTAACAAACTATTTTTGACAACCTCGCGTGGTGACCTGTATCCGTTTCAAATATTTTTTTGAAAATAAATTCAACTAAACCAATAAAACAGTGACACGTGTCCTATTATAAAAAAGTTATAGTCATTTTGGTAATAAATCATGATACTTTGACAATATTTTTTTAACAACATTTTAACAATATCTACGTGTCATTTTGTAATTGGTCTATGTTAGTGTTTGTGATTATTATAATTGATTGTGGAGTAATTTTGAACCAATTATAGAATGACACGTAAATGATGTTAAAATGTTGTCAAAATATCATTATTCTTTGATAATATTAGCCGAAGAGAAGCATTTGATTCTGCATTTAACAGTTTTCCTCGAATGATTAAGATATCTGTATTGTACTGATAGATCATAAAAAGGAATAACAATTCTAAAATGTCGCAGGATGTATATGTCGTTGGTGGACACATTAGCAGCACTGTTAAAGACAAAGGAAATATATTTTCAGTTCCTTCCAACCAATATGCTGAGTTCAACATGTTCTTGGATCCTTTAGCAGCCAGGATAGTGTTTGAATCAGAAGTTAATGTCACACTCATTCCACTCAATACCCAGCGCAAATCAAGTTCGTTTTCAGCCTTTATCGGCGAGTTGCGTAGGACACGAAGAACACCAGAGGCTGTGTTTTCCGAACGTCTGCTGTCACGGCTATACCATTTAAAGCAATCTCATAGCATGTATCAGCATATGGTATAACTTTCAGCCCACAGATTTTTCTTTCTAGCTTTTCACATCTTAATCTCAGAATTTATGGTTAACCTCTCTAAATGTGTGACACAAAAAGGAGAATAATCAACTTTAGATTCGTTTTAACAATGCCCCTTAAGAAACACGATGATTCCCGTTTAGTTCTTATAGGAATATTTGTTATTCTTGTTTTTATTGCAAGACCGCTACGAAATAGAAATACAAGAACTAAACATAAAAAAAAATTAGTATAAGACTAAAATATTGAGGATTTAGGTATAAGGATTAAGAAAATTGTTGGTGCCGATGTAGGAACCAAACGATTGATAAAACGTTAAGAAATTGCATTAGAAAAAGTAGATTAGATAGGATTAGTTGTTGTTTCCACTGTTTAAGTCCTTTGTGTTTGCAGGGCACGTTCTTGGGAGAAATTCTAGGCGCAGTTGTCTTGGGTGATAGCTATTCAGGTCTTGATCCAAAATTTGAGGAGAAGCTCATTAAAGTCTTGGCTGATGGTAATGAATGGAGTGATGGAAAAGTTGTGGTGGATGAAAAAGATGGAAAATTAGTGAGAATTTTAACGACTGTGGATGCCAAAGCTTACTATAAATTGTATGCAAACAAGCTTGGCCATGAGGAACAGTCAGCTAAGATAGGGAGTTTTGAGGAACAACGGAGAAGATGGAGTCATCCTCAGTTTAAATTAGAGATCATTACTTCACTGTTTACTAAGTGAATTTTAAACATAACTTCATCTCAATAATTAAGGTGAAAACTTAAACAAATTTCAATCTAGTTTTTACATCAATTGTTTCTTGATTGCTACCGTTCAACTTTGAGTAATTAAGAAAAAAAGAAAGAAAGGCGTCTTCAAAGAGTAATTTGTCACTCTTAAATCCACCTATAAAAACAAACAAAACATAAGTTTCTTTATCTCCAAAATATTATCTCTTAAAAAATTAATAGTACGATGATAAAAGAAATTATTTTCCTTGTTAAAAATGTAAGTTTATTGGTAAATTGTTTGTTTAATACAATGACTATTAAGATATTTTGTTATTAATACAATAAAAAGAAAATACAGTATTAATATAATAACTTTAATTACCTTAGTTTTATTTGAAGTTTATTAATTAGTAGATTTAGTATATATTTAGTCTTTAATAGTTGTCATATATATTTAAAAAAAAAA